AGAACTGCTCCAAGCCGTTACAACCTCCTGTAAATAGCTGGCAGGTGCTTTGCAACAAAGACAACGCACAATACATTCCTCACGAATTTCTTGAGCTAAAAACACCTAAAGCTGGCAGGTGCTTTGCAAACTTCCTTCTTGGTTCTCGTTCGCTGGAACTCTTGTTTGTGTGCTCAAACATTAGTTCGTAGTCATCGTATTCTGGGAAACGATTGTTGCAACGCTCCTAGCACGAGCTTGACTAATTCTGCTTCATCTCCTTTCATGTTTTTCTTTAGTCATTTTATTTAATTAATTTATTTTAATTAATTTTCTTTATTTTCTGAAACACACCCAACACACTCAAAATCCAAGCTTTCTCAGACTCAGATTGGGCAATATGTCCAACCACTCGTAAATCCATCATCGGATTTTGTGTTTTTTTTTTGACAAATCTCTTGGTTCTCGGAAATCAAAGAAACAGTCCATAGTCTCAAGATCAGAGTTTTTCTCAAAATACTGTCAAATAAATAAATATTTCCAAAAATAATGTTGGGTTAAAAGTATTTCCCAAAATAATGCTGGAATAACCACAGTTAAAGAACTGTCACTTGAAGTGCCCGCTTATACGAACAAAAAAAACTAACGCATGTCATAAGCCAGAAGAATTGAGTCATGGGTCATACCACCAAATAAAATATCATTTTTATTAAAATTGATATAACTTTTTTATTTGTACTCCGATTATTATAAAAAATATATCAAAATTCATAACTTTTTATTATCTTTCATATGACACCAATATTGAACATATAAAAAATAAAAAAAATAATTTGACACTTTAAAAATATCTACTTTTTAAAGCTTTATATCTTTTTTTATTTGTAATCTGATCGTTATAAAAAATATATAAAAATGAATAATTTTTTATTATCTTTCATAGGACACCAATATTGAATATATAAAAATAAAAAAATTAATTCAATACTTTAAAAATATCTATTTTTTAAAGAACTATATCTTTTTTATTTGTACTCCGATTATTATAAAAATATATATCAAAATTCTTAAGTCTTTATTATCGATATCAATGTTGCATATATAGTTATTCTATTAGTTTTTGCATTTTAGGATCGTTTACTATCAACAAATTTTTATTTTATTTTATATATGCAACATTGATTTCATATGAAAGATAATAAAAAATTTATGGGTTTTGATATATATTTTTATAATAATCGGAGTACAAATAAAAAAATATAGCACTTTAAAAAAAGTAGATATTTTTAAATGTTAAATAAGTTTTTATGTTTATATATTCAATATTGGTGTCATATGAAAGATAATTAAAAGTTATGAATTTTGATATATATTTTTGTAATAATCGGAATACAAATAAAAAAATTATATCAATTTTAAAAAACATGATATTTTATTTGGTGGTGGGACCCATGACTCAACTCTTCTTCCTCCTGGCTTATGACGTGTGTTAGTTTTTTCGTTTATATAAGCCGCCACTTCAAATGGCGGTTCCTTAACTCTGGTTATTCCAACAGTATTTTGAGAAATACATTTAACCCAACACTATTTCTGGAAATATTTATATATTTAACAGTATTTTAGGGAAAAACTCTCAAGATCATCGGCAGAATATTGGCCCTTGCTTCCTCAACTTGTGAACTCCAATGAGTCAAATATTTGTCTAACAGTTTATTTGCCAAGATTTCTACCCCTTTCTTTGTATTTCCATATAGCCAATCGGCTATTCAAATAGCTAAAAACCAACCTTTTATGTAAGGACCAAGCACATTGAAGTGGACTGCCATATTACTCGCATCAAGCTTCAAGAAGGATTATTACATCTTCTTCACGTCTCTTCAACAAATCAGCTTGCTGATGTTTTTACAAAGTGCTTACATCCAAAGCCTTTTGATCAACCTATATCCAACTTGGGTCTTTTTAATGTTCATGACCCATATTGAGAAGGGGTATTAGATATAAAAACTGTATTTAGTTAGTTTTAAATAGAATTAGTTACCTGAAGTTTGTTATACTTGGGTAACCATTTTCTTCTTGGTTGTGTCTGTATAAATAGTGATTCCAACTGTAATTGAATTATATGAGATGAATAAACGCATTTTCATTCTTTCACTCTATCAAAGCTAACAATATATAGTTCAAGTAACTTCTTCCACATTTAGTTTCATGTCATAAGATGTAATATAAATGCCAAATATGTTCCATCAACATCTTTCCCATGTGTTGCACTTTCGTTATAACAAATAAAGAAAAAAATATTTTTCTTAGTCTGCTCATTGGTAGTGTTAAATATAACCTTGCATGTCTTATTATCTTCAATCGGGAAATATAAAATTTTGTTAAGATTTCATCCGACTTTATAGCCTTTTTGCGTTCCTTCTTCGTTATTTTCCTTCCTTTCTTCAAGTTGTTTATTTCCCCAATATTTGTCATCTATACAAAAATCGTTTTCACAGTTTATTAATCACTTAACAAAACATTGGGTTGGAGAATTGCTGACTACACATGGAAGGACAAAGAAGCTTTGGAGAAGAAATTGAACTTTAATTTTTATTTTCATTTAGGTTATTTTACATTTGGATTTATTAATATGGGGTAATATATAAATGGAACATGAAAAAACAGTATTATTACTTGATGGTATTTTTTCTAGTATGAATGTTATTCACTTTATAAAAGACTTGCATTATCAATTTTAATTATATTTTGAATATGTGTTTGTTTATGTAAAATAATAAATAATCGTTGACTTGTTACATATAATAGAAAATTATCAATGGTACATCAACCGTTAATATAGCAAAATTAAGTAAAAATAGTCCAAGTCTATACTAACGGTAAAGTAATTACTAACGGTCAATAATTTGTTGGTACAGGCTAACAAATTATTCCAACGATAAAAAATGGTCAGTCTATACTAACGGTAAAGTAATTACTAACGGTCAATAATTTGGTTGACACATATGCCATCACTCACATTTTTGTGATTGTATAATTTTTGTTGATATAGCTAAATGATGTCTGTTCCAACAAATGTATATACCTGTGCTAATGGTTTGGTTACTATATGAGAATGGTGACAACTCCGGTACCCATTTAAAAAATGGAGTATCGTAACAAATGTATATATGAGAATGGTTTGGTTACTAGAATTTGTCCGTATGATTTTAGTGCCCAACTTAAAAAAAAACATAAATCAATGTACACCGTGTACATATGTCATTTTCCAATTTAAACATGGGAAAAAGACTTCAATAGGACTAAAAGTATGTCTAGGAATGCAAATACGACCCGGAGTTTTTTAAACTTTAAATAGGACCAATTTTTAAGTAACAGACAAAATCACCCTTAGCTTACCAACGACGCTCCCTGAACATGTTGCAACATGCCAACATACGCAGCATCCATTCATCGCCAGCAACAACAATGAATTGATGACCGATATATCTATAGCGTGAATTCACTTATCAGTCGTCGATGTCTGCTTCGTTTCATGCCGATCTGCTGCAGGTTGGGGCCGGAGCAGTCGCCGGCGAGAGTAATCACCCAAGCGATCGCCAGTGGGTCTTCTTCTTCTTCCTCTCTTCTTCCTCTCTTCTTTTTCTTCTTCTTCTTCTTCTTCAGTTTTTAGTCTCGTCTTCTTCCTCTCCTCCTCCCCCAGTCTTTCTTCTTCCTATTCTTTTTCTTCTTTTTCTGCGTTCTTCTTCCTCCCTTTTATCCATCTGTACGTGCCTGCTATGTTGTTTTTTGTTCTATTCTCTTGTCTTACGTTTCAATTTCTTAGTTATTATTTTTCCTTTTCTAGTTTTTTAATTCATTTTTATGAATTCATATAATGAATTCAATTTTTTGGGTCGAAAACTTTTTTTAATATATACATTGTAAATATTTTTTAATGAGGATAATGCAGAGTAGCTCTGTTATTTAAGTTATGTAAATATTATTAAAATTCATGAAAGGAGGATGACATTAAATTCAAGATTAAGGACTCTCAATTATAATAAAGTGTTAAATGATAATATACATAAAACTTTTTGTAGTAAATATTAAAAAAAGATGTTAACACTTGCATGGTCAAAGTGCACAATGCGAATGCCAATGAAAATGTCATAAAAATGTATAAAAATGTCGTCAGGTTAAGAAAATGTCAGTGACAATGTCATAAGAATGTCAATAAAAACAATGTCAATGACAATGTCATAAGAATGTTAATGACAATGTCATAAGAATGTCAATAGAAAACAATGTCAGTGACAATGTCATAAGAATGTCAATGACAATGTTATAAGAATGTCAATGTTAATGTCATAAAAATGTCAATAACAATGTCATAAGAATGTCAATAGAAAACAATGTCAATGACAATGTCATAAGAATGTTAATGACAAAGTCATAAGAATGTCAATAGAAAACAATGTCAGTGACAATGTCATAAGAATGTCAATGACAATGTTATAAGAATGTCAATGTTAATGTAATAAAAATGTCAATAACAATGTCATAAGAATGTCAATCATTATGAAAATGACATTGTTATAACTAATGCCAAAGCTCTAAAATATACATAGTAATTTTTATTTTCAGCAAGTGCAACGTTTCCAAAACATTGTAAAATTGACGTGAGAAAGCTGGAGGTCTGGAGTAAAAAAATTGAAAAACAGGGAGAATTTTCACACATGCATTTCATGCAACAAGTCTGCTACAAAAGAAAAATTCACTTATACATATATATATATTTTTGGAGGAAATATGGAAAACCCATCATCTCTACATCAGCAAACAAGTTAACTTTTGTTGTTACAACACAGAAATGTTTATACGTTCATCCACATATAGGTTTCACAAAGAACTCCAAAATAAGAAATAACAATTGATCTGAAATGCACTAGATAGGGCCCTTATTGTTCTTCCCATGTCTTTTTAGGGATTGGAAGAAGAAAGCGAAAGAGTCACTAAGCTCATTTGGCAGATGAAGTGATAAGGGAAGGAGCAATGGCTGTTGGCAGGCTCTGAGGCAGGAGGGAGACGGGAGCGCTAAGGCAGGCTGCTGTTTGTTAAGGCCTTCGATAATGAAGAAAAATGCCCCAACAGTGAGGCAGCTTTGCAGTAGAGCCTGTGGTGCACCTGGAAAACTCAGAGCAAGACCAGTACAACATCGAGCTACACCATCATTAATTACATCGTCTTTTCCTCTAAGCCTCTCCAGAAAGCAAACCACAACACTGTGTACTCCGGACAGTACTGCAAATGTCTTTGCAGATGATCCTGCCTCTGCAAGAGACCCTTTGAAGCCCTTCTTTTTTATCAACCCCGCACCGTATCCGAAAATGGAACCCATAAACGCCCCACCGAAAGAGTCTGCGGCAAACCTATACAAGCAAACGGCGGGCGGGCTCGAGGGGGAGCTCAATACGTCGGAAGTGGTATCAGGATTAGGGTCGTATTTAGTAGAGAAGTCTGAGTTGGACTATTCTCAACATCAGAGTCGAGATCAGCGTTCGGGGATTTCGTGGGCGTCATTGCCATCGCTGCTGTAGATAAATGGGCTAGAACCCTATGAGAATTTGTTGACACGGTCTGAGAAGCAAAAATAAAAACTTAAAGGGCAAATATGGTCGACACGGAAAATTAGGTCCTATTTAGGAGTAAAATGTCAAGATCTTATTTAATTACACAGGAGAACTTAAGCTCCTATTTAGGACCGTTTCTCTTTAAACATTCCTTATTTGCATTTGGTTTCGAAGGCAATTTGTCCAACTGCTTTATTTGACACATTTTCCTTTATAACCATTTGATTCATTTCAAATTACCCAAAACAAAGTTTTCCCAATCCCTTATCCAAAACAGGTCGATCTTGTCCAAAGCATTTCCTATTACTCCATAAAGGGAAGTATATTATTCAACTACGTATTTAGATCTTGTCCAATACATGTTTTTGCTCAAACGGGGTCAAAGAAAATGTTATATACTACGTATTCATTAGGATTTATATTTATCATCAGCATTCGATCATGTAAAATTGTAAACATGATACAATTGAGGTGATATAAGTTACAAGTTCACTCATTGATAATGATGTGATAAGGTTGATTCTTACAAACTAAAAACTTCACACCATTATTATGGATGTTCCACCTCTTCATGAATATTTAGCATTACTTCCACCATTGGAAATAAGAGTTCTTCAGATACAAAAGAGAGCAACAACCCATCCAAACATAGCAGTAGCTTGAAAAAAAGTGTTGAGAACAAATCAGTCACCACCATAAAAGCTAACAACTAGCTTACTTACAAAAACAATAGCAGCTTCACAAAAAGATGCACCACCTGCAGAAACTTCAGCGGCAAGAGGCAAAAACAAAAAACAAAAAATCTCCATATCTGGAGGCAAGCTGTTAGAGATGTATCATTTTACAACATAATATTTACAAAATTTGGATATTGTTGCAGGCAGCAGCTGACAAAAAGAGCTAAATACAGCAAGCATATACAGGAGGAGGTTGCAGTTGTAATCAGGATAACTTAAAAGGATCCCTGTGGGGCATCAGCTCTTCACCATCCGGCACCAAATCCAACATAACCTGCCAGTTAAATTTTGAAGTGTATATATTATCCGCTTATCAATTATCATTACTGTTACAACCATCTGTCACATTAACACCACCCACATTAGTGTCACATTTCCCTTTTTAAGCTAATCCTGAAAGGGTTTTATTTAGACGCATCTCCGAAGGCCTCTTAAGATTTCAATATCAAATTTAGACTTGAAAGTGCACCTAAGGCCTTGTAGGTTAAATTGATAGATTAATCCGGTGTGAAATGGCGTAACACGATATCCCTAATCAAAAAAAGGAACCACTGCTTGTTTCCACAAACTATTCATCAAAACACAATCAGACATGAGAGCCACTACCTTCCAATCTATGTAATCAAATCTGAAGATTGAATTCTGGTAGGGCTCATTGGTAGGAAGAACCACACATGCTGCTGCTGCATCACTTGTAGCTGTAAACGTAAGAAAATAACAAGTAAAGAGGATAAGATTGAACTAAATACTTAGTATGTTGAATACAGTGATATGAGATTATTTATCTTACAGACGATATAAGAGCCGTTCTCAGCCAATCTTATAGCAATCCGCCCGTCATTTACCAAGAAAGAAAGCACAAATATGTTTTCAATGGTCTGTGCATAGGAAAACCTGTTAAGGACAAGATTCTCAAGCTTGACACATTTCTTCTCTTTTATGGTCTCAAACATTGATGAAACATTCTTTTCGGTATTTGACTTCCATTCAGCAGTGCTATCAAGGAGCTGTAGCAAGGAAAAAGGGAATGTATGATGAAACCGATAATTGACTATATATAAATTGTTCAGCTAAAAAAGAAAACTATAGTAATGGAAGTAGATCTAGACATGTCTCTTAAAATCACTTGATTAAATGATCTCAAGTCTTACTCAAAGAGGTGAGGTTTATGGCACACTTTGATAAGACATTCCACATGGGTTAAATACAATAGACACTCTTATTATGTTGGCTCTTTAGAATCAAATCTGAAGTCTATATATAGTACTCCCTCCGTCCCAATTTGATGGTCTCATTTCTTTTGGGCACAAGTTTTAATAAAGTGGTTGAAAAGGTAAAAGTTGTGGTTGAGATTTGAGTATAATAAAGTGAAATGATATGGACCACATCTTTTTTTCCAAAAAGGGAAACAGGACCATCATTTTGGGACATCCCAAAAAGGAAATACAGGACCATCATTTTGGGACGGAGGTAGTAATACACTTCTATATTAAACTCATGTGCAGTAGACAAAAGAAACAGGTTGTGGGGAAGAGAAAAAAAATCAACCTTCACCGGGCGAACATAAGGAGTACATCTTGTTTTCTTAATCTCATTTCTGATCCCCCTAGGCTTGATAACATAATTCAGTGCTTCAGGCTTGATCATACAATATACTGGTTCAAGCTTTATCTTATAACTCATTGGTCCAAGTCTAAGAAAGAATGCCACCAATTCACTTACAATGTCATAAAAGAAGGTTTTGCTCCCCACCCTAAGAAACAACACACTCAAATAAAATCTAAGAAGAAGGTGTTGACATACATGGTCTTACAACCTGAACCATCCTTGAGAAAGGGTAAAACAATTTCTTCCCAGCGTAGTATGGGCCCTGCATTCTTACCACGACCCCCTCTTCTTCCATAGTGTTTAAGAAGATGGTAAACAAACCCTGAAGGTGTCACATTTCCTTTTAGATGAGACTTAACAGAATCGACCAAAGAGCCGGTAAGTCCAAGCACTGTTTCTGCATCAGCCACCTGTTCTCGTGGCCATGTAACTGCCAAAAATGAGAAAAATTATGAATCTTGAAACAAAACTACAAAAGTCGTCTTGAAGTTTGTTGTGGGTGTCAATCACACAATCCAAACCTCACATGGAAAATTTAAGCCTTTGACGTTAGATGACATTCAATATCTATCATCTATGTGTGTGTGTCAGTTCCTAAGAAAATGAAGCAAAAGGGTGCATATTCTGAATTCTGATAATGCAGACTTTGAGGTGAAAGAAAAGTTCAGTTTATTTATAAAAATGTCATAAAGCTCGTCCCAAGCCTCTAATGCAGATAAAAAATCTCTAGTTAATAGATTTGAGATGAGGGGAATCCCAGTTTGCGAGATAATGTCATTTTAAATCAAGAAAAGAAATTCAATATAAATACAGTGATTGGATATTGGATTGTAATCATGATATTATAGAAATTGAGTCATGATAACATTATAAAAATTTGTATCAAGACTTTAGAAGTTGGAAGATTAGAAAACATTGCTTTTATTTTTATGATTACATATCTGGGTAATGGCTTATTTACATTTCAATTTCTAAGTTGATTGTTTTGTCGCCAAGTACTTTGTGATCTAATGCATATCTCCCAAAGAGGTGGTGGCACGTTCGAGTCCCATCTTGGTCAAGGATGTTGGCATTGAAATGACCCAATACTATAATAGGTTTAGAAGCATAATCCAAAAAAAATTGATTGTTTTGTCAACTCGTGGTTGTGGTAACTGAAACAAATAAATTTATATTTTTATGCGAAAGCCTATAATAATTTTTAGGCAAGTATAACCCCATTTGGGCCATTGGTTAACCCTATTGTTAGGGCTTAGATCGGTTGGGATCTTTGAAAAAAATTTAGAAAAGTTTGAAGAACCTAAAATTTTGTAATGGTCAAGTTTTTTTAATTTATCATTCAACTGTTACCTATGTAGCACGGAAACTCTTGGGAAAGAGTACGTTTCCCGTTTCGGAAACTCTCGGAAACTCTTTGGAAACTCTCCAAATAAGCGTTTTTTGAGCAAAAGTTGACGTTTCCCGTTTCCCGTTTCCTTATGATTTTCACGTTTCCATGCAACATAGACTGTTACCAAACAAGAATCTATTACTTCCACGGTCCCAATCAAGGTTTCATAGCAAAAATGTACTCCGTACTTTTTTAAAGCAACTAATTAAATAAAGGAGTTTAAGCACAAAAATAGAAAAGAGAAAAATTAAAAAGGTAAACAGCTGAAGGAAATAATTGTGTGAATGGAAATATAATTGGGTGGAGTAATAATAATCACTCTCTCCGTTCCATATAAACGTTCTCAATTTCCTGACATCTCATACAAATGCTCTCATTTCTATTTTAAGAAACAATTAACACTCTTAATTATCACCATTAATCAAATTATATTATAAGTCTATCAAATTTATTTCTCAAAATATACTTGAATTGTCATTTTTAATTATTGTATAAATAACTATGAGATTTTGCTACAAGAACCTTTATGGGGTAGTAGATAAATAGTTAAAGGGAATAATTGAGTGGGTGGAAATATAATTGGGTGGAGTAATTAATGACTAACTACTGGTGGTATTATGAGTTTGCTTATTAAAAAATAATGATAAAGTTCACTGAACCGTTTAATCTTTGCCAAAAGGAAAAGGGGAATTGACAAAAGTTATCCAAAAAGGGTACTTTAAAATGGGATTGATGAAATATTGAGCAAAAAAAAATACCTACATAAAAAACTCAACCTTTGAAACCCCATTATCTGGAGGTATCCAAAAATGGGTAGCTGTGATTCTACAGAAGTAAATCCCCATATTAAACCAAATTGACCTTATGAGAATATGTACTTTTTCAGCTCCTATAAGAATTGATTGTGACCGAGAACTTGGTCCAACATGTGATGGGTCATAAAACCCTTAGTCAACTGACTCTTCCAAACAAATGCTGCTTCATTCTATGCGAGTGGAGTGAAATCAGAGGTGAAAAAACACATACCACTCAAAAACAAGCCATTAACGT